TCTTATAGAGCATTTATAGTCAAATAAAGAATTAGAAATCCACGCTACTTGAATCAGGTGTTGCCAAGGTCGAACGAACACATGACCTTCAAATCTTCAATATTAAGCTCTCCCAACTAAGCTATCCCCTCTAACATTGAAAATGAAAATACTTAAATTTTAAAAAGAAATAATCACTAAATTTAGATTAAGTAGTCAAGTAATTTTAAAAAGAAATATCACTCATTTTAGATGGAATATTCAAGTTGTGCAAGTTAGTCAACTTGAATTAGGTGAAGTGAATGTTGATCAAACATGTGACTTTTAGAACTTCACTAACACTCTCCAAATTGAGCTATCCCCGCTAACATTAAAAATAAAAATTCATCGGTAAAGATATTTTCAAAGCTTCATTGTGATTTTAAAAAGAAATAATCACTAATTTTAGATTGAATAGTCTGGTTATGCAACTTAGTCAACTTGAATCAGGTGCGGTGAACGTGGATCAAACACGTGACCTTGAGATCTTCAGTGATGCTCTCCTAATTAAGCTATCCCCGCTAACATTAAAAATGAAAACTCATTAGTAAGGTATTTAGCTAATTCATTGATATTTTAAAAAGAAATACTCACTTATTTTAAATTGAATGGTGAGGAGTCAAGTTATGTTTTAGCTAATTCATTGATATTTTAAAAAGAAATAATCACTAATTTTAAATTGAATAGTGAGTAGGCAAGTTATGTGACTTCAATCAGGTGCGGTGAAGAACGTGGATCGAGCACGTGAACTTCAGATCTTCAGTCTGACACTCTCGAAAGTTATCCTCGCTAATATTTGAAAAAAAAATCACAAGTAAAGGTATTTTCGCTAATTCATTATATTTTAAAAAGAAATAATCACTAACTGTAGATTGAATAAAATTATGCAACTTAATGGACTTATGCAACGTAAACCAAGTGCGGTGAACGTGGATTAAACATGTAACGTTCAATATTCAGTCCCAACTGAGCTATCCATTATTCATTGAAATTTTAAAAATAAATAATAACTAATTTTTGATTGAATAGTTAGCTTATGCAAATGGAAACAGGTGCGGAGGTGGGGTGAACGTGGAGATTAAACATGTGACCTTCAAATCTTTAGTTTGACACTCTCCCAACCACTAATTCATTATATTTTAAAAAGAAATAATAACCAACTAAACTATAAGATGCCATAAATGTAAATCGAACAAGACCTACCTTAAAGATAAAGATTGAATAGTCAAGTTATGCAACTTACGATGCTAAATAATCAAATTAAGCAATGTGAACCATGTGGGATGAACATTGATCGAAAACGTAACCTTCAGATCTTCAATCTGACGCTCTCCCAATTGAGCTATCCACGCAATCATTAGAAATAAAAATTCATTAGTAAAGGTATTTTAACTGATTTATTGAGATTTTAAACAGAAATAATGACTAATTTTTTATCGAATAGTCAGGTTATGCAAATAGAAACAGGTGCAGTGAAAATGGAGATCAAACACGTGACCTTCAAATCTTAAATCTGACGCTCTCCAAACTAAGCTATCCCCACTAACATTAAAAATGAAAGTTTTTAAGTAAAGGTATTTCCGCTAATTAATTGAAATTTTAGAAAGAATTAATAACTACTTTTAGATTGACTAGCCAAATTATGCAACGTGAACCATGTGCGGTGAACATGGATCGAACAAGATACCTTCAGATCTTCAATCTAACGCTCTCTCAACTGAGCTATCCACACTAACATTAAAAATTAAAATTCATCAGTAAACATATTTTCGCTAATTCATTGAAATTTTAAATATAAATAATAAGTAATTTTTAATAAGATATTCAAGTTATCCAACATGTATAAGGTGTGGTGAACTAGAACACATTAGGTATTTCCAATAATTCATTGAGATTTCACAAAGGAATAATGACTAATTTTAGATTGAATAGTTGGGCTATGCAACTAGAATTAGGTGCCGTGAACGTGGAGATCAAACACGTGACCTTCAAATCTTCAGTTTGACGCTCTCCTAACAGAGCTATCCCCGCTAATATTAAAAATGAAAATTCATAAGTAAAGGTATTTCCGCTAATTCATTATATTTAAAAAAGAAATAATCATTAATTTTAGATTCTATAAGCAAGTTAGGTTTTTAGATTGTATAATTAGGTAATAAACGTGTATTAGGTGCGTTGAACGTGGATAAAACACGTGTGACCTTCAAATCTTCAGTCTAACAATCTCCCAACTGAGCTACTCTTGCTAAACATTAAAAATGAATTTTCATTAGTAAAGGTATGGGGTACGCTTCTGGAAATTCAACAAAAGAAAATAGTATTAGACCGAGATGTCAGATTTAAATCTCGCTTGTGGAAAATTCAACAAAAGGCATTGGGTACGCAGTTATAACACGACATTCCACCCATAAACAGATGATCAAACAGAAATGCTCAAGCAAATATTGGAAGACATGTTGAGGGCATATGTGATGGATTTTGCAGGAAGCTCGGATAAGTACCTACCCCTTATGAAATTCGCTTATAATAATAGTTGTCAAGCCACCATACAAATGGCCACATACGAGGTTCTCTATGGACGAAGATTTCGATCCCCTATCTTTTGGGAAGAA